TGCTCTCCCTCCCTCTCTTTCTCTCTCTCTAAAATAAATAAATAAATCTTTTAAAAAAATAGAGACCCAGAGATGCTGCTAAGCATTCTACAATTCACAGGACAGGCCCTCACAACAAAGAATTATATGGCCCAAATGGGAATAATACCAAAGTTTAGAATCCCTATTTTAGAAAAATTGTTAGATTGAACCAAACAAAATTGATATTATTCACTGTTTTTTTTAACCTAAGAGTTGAATTTTATATGGTTAATCCTCTATTAACGGATACTAGGGATCAATTTTAAGATATCATGATTTGAGTAACTGTTTCCATGGAACAGACCCCAACAACAAAGCACAATCTTGAATAAATGTCAGCAGTGACACTGTTAAGAAGCCCTTGTCTAAGCATATGAAAGTTGCCAACCAAGCTAACATGCTTTAAGATAAAATCTGTTCTGTCCCCACCTTGATAAATGTTGTGTATTAGTTTGTCATGGTTGCAGATCTGCTTTTTTAAGGCTCAAGTGAAGTTGCTTTGATCTAAGAGTAAATTTCTTTACATTGAGGAAGCCTTGTCAGGACAATGTCATCATAATTGCTGTGCTACTGAGTGTTTTCGATATAAACATAAAATATAATGGACATTTAACCTTTAAATATCAAGAATTTGTGAGGACTTAAAGCAAACATTCAGCCTGAGCAAGGCTACTCTTTGCTGACCTAAATCGCTCACTGAAGACCGTGGGACATGAGCTCCTGCCATGGCACGGCTACTCTTTGCTGGCAGTGGTGGAAACCGTGCAGCCACCCCATGAAAGAAATCATCTTGCCCACCAACACTGGTGCCTTTGTTCTGCCAGCAAAACTTCCAATTTGTGCTGGCAGCTAGACATCAGTTCTTGGTTGGCTCAGCTAATTCTTCCAAGAACCAACCCATAGAAAGGGTTCACTAAATCTGGACTTTATTTCTGCCATCTCCCCTTCGCCTAAAACAATAGTGTAATTAATCTGTCACTGGTTTGGAGTTTTTATTTAGTTACTGACTTATTAAGAGGCATGATCCTGTATGCTACTGGCTTGTGAGATATTATTATTATAAATTATATTCCCACAGTAAACCTGCCTTAAATGAATTATTAACAAAGACAGTCTCTGAGCATAATTTGCCATGAGCACAATAATAAATAACAGGAGGGGCGCCTGGGTGGCTCAGTTGGTTAAGCGACTGCCTTCGGCTCAGGTCATGATCCTGGAGTCCCTGGATCGAGTCCCGCATCGGGCTCCCTGCTCGGCAGGGAGCCTGCTTCTCCCTCTGACCCTCCCCCCTCTCATGTGCTCTCTCTCTCTCATTCTCTCTCTCTCAAATAAATAAATAAAATCTTTAAAAAAATAATAATAATAAATAACAGGGATAACAAACTGGATAACAAGTTTTACATTTTGAGTTTTTGGATTCCTCAGAGTTCCAGAACAGTGTCGGAGTCCCTGGCCCATAGCGTGTTCTATCTCATGACAGACCCCAAACTCTTGTATGTGAACATCCCAGAATGCTTGTCCTAGTTCTGTCTGCCCATCTAAAACAGCCACTCTGGATTACCTTGTCATGTATAATAGTTTACACACCTGCACAGGTTGGCTCTCTAGAGGACTGGACCAAGAAAGAGGCCCATGCAGTTCCTACAAGCAGCCCAGAGCCATTTTGATAGGGATTCTGAAATATCCAGGGCATGGCCTGGGTTGTGACAGGAATTCTGCATAGGCAGTTTCCTTTGGTCAAGACTCACACTCAGGGACAAAACTGCTCTTTCTAGCCATATAATTGTTGGAGAAGATCATTGAGAGGATGTATCCACTAGGATGACCCTCGAACAGGACTCGGGCAATCAGAGTCTCCTTACCTTTCTGCTGTCCTTGGAATGTATATTCTGCTACTATTCTCGTACTAGCAGCTGTTTTAAGGATGAAGCCTTCAGAGAGTGAGGTGTTGAGATCATCTGGACTGAATATGTGACTAGCAAGCAGGTACAGAGATCTACTTATCTTGAGCTGCCCAAGACAAGCCTTCTATGTAAATTTCTTTGCTTATTAAAACTACCACCCACCGTTCTGGAGTGGTTTGCCACTTTCTTTGGTTTCTCCTTGCTCTCCACATAGAGGGGCTAATTTAAGAACCAACAATAATATCAAATTGAAAATTGGGTTTTAAGATCTGATAATGAGTAGTCCTTTTCAAAAATGTAGGCATTTGACATTTCTATTCATTATTTGTATTAATGCTGTTGTGAAGTGACCTAGTGTTTTATGTCACAAATTAATAACTTGAAGCATTCAACATATGAGACAATTTTAACGTTATTAAATCATAGTTACAGTCATATCATAAGGTTAAAAGTAGATTAAAATTAAAGGCCCATATCTTCAAAAGACTCAGTTACATGCTAATTCATACATACTGTGTAGAGGGAAATACTACTAAAATGGTGAATTTTAATAACATACCAATTTGAGCTTCTTCAGCTTTTATTTAAAATTAGAATGCTTAACAATTTCCTCATTTGTTCATGGTTTATAAATGAATCTTTATTAAATAGAATGATTTATTTTACATATTAATGATAAATATAAAAGAAAACATCCATTCAACTAAATTTATAGAAGTGATAAAGGAATTATTATCTTTAGTTTAAACTTAACTTTGATCACAGATAATTCCAAGAGAAAATGTTACACTTAATAAAATTGAAGTATATGATGTATTTTTTGGAAAGTTCTTGAAATAATAATGTACAGAAACTTGGAAGCATAGATGGCAAGGCATATTCTGGTGTCTGGGTTTTAAAAACAATTATTTCTTTTAACTACTTTTTGAAAAAAAATTTTTTAAAGATTTAATTTATTTGAGAGAGAGAGAGTGAGCGTGAGAGAGAAAGCATGAGCAGGAGGGAGAGGCAGAGGGAGAGGGAGAAGCAGACTACACTGAGCAGGGAGCCCAATGCGGGGCTCCCATCCCAGGACCCTGGGATCATGACCTGAGCTGAAGGCAGATGCTTAACCGACTGAGCCACCCAGGTGCCTCTAAAAAATTTGTTTTAAAATAGATGCCTAGTTGACATACAATGTTTTATATTCGTTTCAGTTGTATAACATAGTGATTCTGCAGTCCTATACATTATGCAGTGCTCACTGTGATAAGTGTAGTTACCGTCTGTCTCCATACACAGTTATTACAGTATTATTGACTGTATTTCCTATGCTGTAGTTTTCATCCCCTGACATTTATTTTATAACTAGAAGTTTAAATTAAATCTCAATCCCCTTCACCTATTTCATCCATCCCCCCAGCCGCCGCTGCTGTCAACCACTAGTTTGTTTTCTGTATTTATGAATCTTTTTTAAAAGTTTTGTTTATTTTGTTTTTTAGATTCCACATGTAAGTGAAATCATGTAGTATTTGTCTTTCACTATCTAATTTATTTCATTAAACACTGTCCTCTCTAGGTCCATCTGTGGTTGTCCCAAATGGCAAGATCTCGTTCTTTTTATGGTCCTGTAATATTCCATTGTATATATTTACCACAACTTTTAAGATTTTATTTATTTATTTGAGAGAGAGAGCAGAGTGAGAGAGAGAGCACAAGTGGGGTGGGGAGGGGCAGAGGGAGAGGGAGAAGCAGACTAACCACTGAGCAGGTAGCTCGATGCAGGGCTCAATTCCAGAACCCTGGGATTATGACCTGAGCCAAAGGCAGACGTTTAACCAACTGGGTCACTCATTTGCCCCTATTTACCACATTATGTTTATCCTTTCATCTACTGATGGACACTTGGGTTTTTTCCATATCTCATCTATTGAAAGTAAACCTGCAATAAACAAAGGGATACATATATGTTTTCAAATTAGTGTTTTCATTTTCTTTGGTGAGTACCCAACAGTGGACTTACTAGATCATATGGCATTTCTATTTTTAATTTTTTGAGGAACTGCCATACTGTTTTTTACAGTGGCTGTGCCAATTTACATTCCAGCCAACAGTACCCGAAGGTTCCCTTTTTTCCACATACTCACCAACACCTATTTCTCATCTTCTCAACCATAGCACTCTGAGGGATGCCTCAGTGGCTCAGTTGGTTAAGCATCTGCCTTCAGCTCAGGTCATGATCCCAGGGTCCTGGGATCGAGTCCCACATCAGGCTCTTTGTTCAGGAGGGAGCCTGCTTCTCCCTCTGCCTGCAGCTCCCCCCTGCTTGTGCTCTCTCTCCTTCGCTGATGTGAACAAATAAGACGTTTAAAAAAAAAAATAGCACTCTGGTGTAATGTGATACCTATTGTGGTAACTAGGTTTTTATACTTTATTTCTAGGAACACATTATTCCCTTATATCTTGAGAGTTGTAATTTATATTACTACAAGAATTATTGAAATGCTATGAGAATCCAATTTGTGATCCTAACTATAACATCTAAAAACATAAAAGTATGTGTATATGTGTGTGTGCCAAAGAGAGGAGGGAATAGAGAGAAATAAAGAGAAGAGTTAGCCAGAAGCAACTTTAATCTAAAGACAAATTTTATGGGATTAACATATTTTAAGGCAGTAGGCATTTCTACAGTCCCCTTTAAACTTTATACCTTTTACAGTTCCTTTATAAAGCACCCTTATTGTGCTCTTCATTAAGATTTGTAAAGGAAAGTCACAGAAAGTAAGTTGTAGTTTTGTCATATTTATGTTGAATGGGTTCCATGGAAGTATTTTAAGAGACATTAAAAAAAAGAATGGCATCTTAAATTCCATGAAATTGAGAGTGTAAATAGCTGGCATCCATGATAACTATGAGGCACCATGTGAAATTGAGCCTTTTATACAGTAGGATAGAACAGTGAGAAAAAAAGAAGAGAGAAAGAATTTTGTTTTTATATATGAATACCCTAATTTTTAAATGTTACCTAAAATGTTTTAGCATAATTTTACACTTAAAATGTGGTATAATCATTGTCTGTGAATTTTATTTTTCCAGCTTGTTTTCTAGGAGCATCGAACTGACCACTTACATTTATATCTGGGAGAACTACAGGCTCATCAGTTTGCCTTGGCATTCTCCATGGACTTGGTATTTAACTTTCTTAGGAGTTGATTTTGGCTACTACTGGTTCCATCGCATGGCCCATGGTAAGTTGCAAATCAAGGTTTTATTGATAATTTATGTTGAATTGTGTTTTGCTCATAGTAGGTATTCAGTAAATATTGAATGAATGAATAAATGAATAACATGGCTTATTTTATAGCCTATAAAGATTAATGATGAAAGTTTCATTTGAAATTTAAGTGGAAACAATCTAGTCATTTTTGAAACAAAGTGAAATTATTAGAGATACATTTTTCACACCTCTTGTATCTAACTTGTTAAAAAGTTGAGAAAGTGATGACTGTGGCATTACTCTTTAATATACTGCCTTCCATTTTTCTTATTATGACATGCTTGGTAGAGTCTACAGACTCTTGTACATAATATCAGACCTCACATCACAGTTATCAGAGGTCATTCAGAAGAGCTCTGGAATCCTAGGTAATGTGTGCTGTCACACATAAGCTTGATGCAGGCTCTTGGCAGTAAGTCCACATTGCAAATGAAAATGCAATCATCTAGGCACTAACCATAATGCATTTCAGTATTACCATAGTTTTGCAAAATTTCTCATCTAATATAAAGCCCTCTTACTGCACTGGTTCACTGAATCTGCTTTTGGGGACTCGTAGCTGTACGTTCCAAAGAAGTGTTTTGTTATGAAAAGGGAAATGGAAGAACAGGAAACAATCTAAACCTCTGTAGGGCTAAGTAGAGATTGGAGAATGATTGTAAAGGTAAGGTGAGCAAGTGGTTTCTAAGGAGGAAGAGGCATGCAAAAGCATTTCTGAAGGGAAATGGGGGAAAGTACTAATTTTGAAAATCTACTGAAGAGTAGAACTGAGCATTTCAGTGGGTGGTTGGGTTGAGTGGGTGGGGAGGAAGGAAGGAAGAGGAAGAAATCTGGAATAATAATACAAAGTAGATGGGAGACGGCAAGGAGACCTGAGATCAGGGTGAATAACCGAGCAATGTGTGTAGGAGTATGGTGACCAAACATCCTTCCCAAAAGAGGATGAAGGAAATAGGAGCAACATAGGCAAACATTATGCTTAAGGCAGTGAAATTTTAAATGCAGCATTATTTTTGTTAAGTATTTTAAACATGTACATATAATGAAACTATAAAGAATGTTAATTCATTGAAACAATTTGAAGGGAATATATAAATTAGAAAAAGTTATTTATTTTGTGTGTGATAACCTTTGTCTTGGAAAATAATAGGTCAGCCCCTGACATCATTTCCTTGAGTATAAATGCAAGAGGATACTCCCAAATTGAACATGACTGGGAATAAAATATGGTCATGTAGTAAACTTTGTATTTTATTTCAAAACAGTAGTTTTCTCCCTAAAATAAACCCATTGGCAAGCTTCCTCATTTTCTATACAACAAACGGGTAATGCAGAAAGCATTTATGTTGCATCACTTAATTTCAGGAGCCTTCTAATATCACACTGTCCTGTACAGATGTGTTTGTGTGGGAAATCTGCAAATTCGCTTAATCTTTAAAAGCCCATTATAACAGGAAGCAAAGAACCATCAAAATATTACCAAATATAAAACTTTTAAAAATATATGTATTGTTAAGTGCTCTCAGTTAGGGAAGAGCAATAAAGTAAAATAATATATTAAATACATGGAATCAAGGCTGTTTAAAGTATGCTTCCCATTAGAAAATTTTGAGCCAAATCCAGTGGAGGCAGGCATTAAAAAAAATCTGAAAACCTTCTGGAAAAATACTCACCACCTTCAGGCTATGAAGTCTAATCTAAATTGAAAGACTTTTGACTTGTGAGGGAAAGCTCATAGGAAAAAAATAAATTAGTAGTTGAATGTATCAACCTTCAATATGATAGCTGACTTCTAAATTTTATGTGATATTAATATAAAATATTAAAATGGATTTTTAGAAACCTAGAAGTACACAGGAGTAAGAAAAACTTAAAATATCAAGTTTCATGAGGCTCTGGGGTTGCTGAGGTCGTACTGATTAATTAGTCAAATTTATTTAGCTGAGAAGTTTGAAGACTTCTAAAATTCTAATGTTGACCTAAAATATAAGAAAAATCCCTCTTTTCCTACTTAATGTGTTACTTTCCTTTCACTACTTGTAATAAAATAATAAACTAAAAATGCATTCCACATTTGTTGATATGTTAAATGCTATGAGTTTTGAAGAAACAATATATACTTTTTATTTTTACATGTATATAAACTATTTCTTTAGTAGTCCAAATTACTTTTAGGGTTTTTGTTGTTGTTGTTTTGTTGTTGTTATTTGGTTTGTATAAATGCAGAATTTTCTCACATTAAGAGTATGGAAAAGAGTTAATTCTCAAAAACTTGAATTCGATTTCTATTCCTGTACAAAAGAACAGAGGGATATTTGAGTCTCTTATGTTATCTAAATTTCATTCCCTTTTCCTCTGGAATAATGAGAAATGAATTGCCAATTATTGTCAACTTACAGAAAAAGAAGAAGAGCACAATAACTTCTATAAAGTGCCTTGACATCGTTAGAAAGAAATGTAAAATGACACAATTAAATAGGTTTTAAATTAAAAGTAACTTCTGGCTTAGTCTCCAATACAAAAGGATACATTATTTTTGTTTGTCTTTCCTATTAGTTATACTAAACATGTAAAAAATCGAGTAAAGGTTTTTAAAGGAACACGTAAAATGTAAATGATTACTACTTAGCAAGAGCAAGAATGAGCCTTCCAGAGTGCTAGTTATGGACTTGGGTCTTGTCTTGGGTGGTAGCTACATGAGTGCATGTACTTGTAAGAAACATGTTGAGTTGCGTACTTAAGATTTACATACTTTACCTATAGTTCAAAAAAAGTTAAATTAGTAAACAATCCCACCAGTATGATTTCTTAGTGAATAGTTTGAAGTCAGAATGATATAATGATTAACCCAATTTAGAAATAAGAACCAAGAAATTATTGTTTGTGACTGTAAGCATAAACACTTAGCAGAGATGGATCCTACAGACATTTCTCCTTTGCAAGCTCACTTGATGTTAGGCTTTGTCAATTTAAAAGATTGAGAGGATAGTACAGAGCCAGAACAGCAGGGGCTTTTCCATTTTCCAGAGTGCTGTTTTTCGTGTGGCACTTAGCAGATTGATGCGCAGGGATCTTGGTAGTATTCACCCCATGGTTTATTTATAGCCTATGACTTTTGGTAGGGTCCTCTGCCCTCTGGGGGACCACATCAGAGGACTGCCTGTAATATACTCCCTCTGGGGTCTGTATACTCTAGCAAGTCTTTCTGTCTCCACCAGAGTTCCCATGGTAGCCACAACCTCTCCAAAGATGTCTGATTCTTAGACTTGGCGGTTGTGGGGGGAGGGGAATTTTCCTAAATTCATACATGCCTGCTTTGTTCATTCTCTCTCAGCTCCATAGGCAATAACTGTCTATATAGGTGTTACTTCTGTACCACTGAACTACTCCCTGTTTCCCTCTTTCAGTAGTTAATGCCTTTTTTTTATTTATCAATTAATTCATTATATTAACTTTCTCTTTTTCAAACTATTGGTGGGTTTTGTCTCCTGATTGGATTCTGACTGATAAAGTCAACCTCCCCACATATTATATAGGGTTGTAAATTGAAGTTCACTTGACTATACCTTTAATATCCCATTCTGAGGCATTGATTACACATTGAGGCTATAATATGATTTAATTCATTTCTGGAATAAAGATGTTCATCCATAAAATTGTTACAATAAGAATCTATAGAAACCCCTCAAACTCTTCATTCTTTTTTTTTTTAATTCTTATGTTAATCCCCATACATTACATCATTAGTTTTAGATGAAGTGTTCCATGATTCATTGTTTGTGCATAACACCCAGTGCTCCATGCAGAATGTGCCCTCAATACCCACCACCAGGCTAACCCATCCTCCCACCCTCCTCCCCTCTAGAACCCTGTTTGTTTTTCAGAGTCCATCATCTCTCATGGTTCGTCTACACCTCCGATTTCCCCCGCTTCATTCTTCCCCTCCCACTACCTTCTTCTTCTTTTTTTCTTAACATATATTGCATTATTTGTTTCAGAGGTACAGATCTGAGATTCAACAGTCTTGCACAATTCACAGCACTTACCAGAGCACATACCCTCCCCAGTGTCTATCACCCAGTCACCCCATCCCTCCCACCCCACCCCCCACTCCAGCAACCCTCAGTTTGTTTCCTACAATTAAGAATTCCTCCTATCAGTGAGATCATATGATACATGTCTTTCTCTGTTTGACTTATTTCACTCAACATAATACCCTCTAGTTCCATCCACGTCGTTGCAAATGGCAATATCTCATTCCTTTTGATGGCTGCATAATATTCCATTGTATATATATACCATCTCTTCTTTATCCATTCATCTGTCGATGGACATCTTGGCTCTTTCCACAGTTTGGCTATTGTGGACATTGCTGCTATAAACATCGGGGTGCACGTACCCCTTCGGATCCCTACTTTTGTATCTTTGGGGTAAATACCCAGTAGTGCAATTGCTGGATCATAGGGTAGCTCTATTTTCAACTTTTTGAGGAACCTCCATACAGTTTTCCAGAGTGGCTGCACCAGCTTGCATTCCCACCAACAGTGTAGGAGGGTTCCCCTTTCTCCGCATCCCTGCCAACATCTGTCGTTTCCTGACTTGTTAATTTTAGCCATTCTGACTGGTGTGAGGTGGTATCTCATTGAGGTTTTGATGTGGATTTCCCTGATGCTGAGCGATATTGAGCACTTTTTCATGTGTCTGTTGGCCATTGGGATGTCTTTGGAAAAATGTCTGTTCATGTCTTCTGCCCATTTCTTGATTGGATTCTTTGTTCTCTGGGTGTTGAGTTTGATGAGTTCTTTATAGATTTTGGATACTAGCCCTTTATCTGATATGTCATTTGCAAATATCTTCTCCCATTCTGTCGGTTGTCTTTTGGTTTTGTTGACTGTTTCCTTTGCTTTGCAAAAGCTTTTTATCTTGATGAAGTCCCAATAGTTCATTTTTGCCCTTGCTTCCCTTGCCTTT